TGGATGTACCTAAAATCGAGTATTGTCATAAATAATAATGATGGCTGAATTAGATAACGAAAATCGAACTGGATAAATGTGATCATTGTGACCGCCTGCAGTTTTCTCGGTAGCATGAACACAATCATTACGTTTCACGAAGACTGCAACAGATATCAAGGTCAAACCTCCGTTAAATGTACGACAACATATATTAAAGTTCACGAAATCCCTACGAAGTTTTTAAAAGTGTTGAAGTAATGCACGTATAGCAACGCCGAGCAATCGAAATGAGCACTCGGGGTATTCCAATGTTAAAAGATGGCCGGATGACGTACTTATTCACTTACACTTTCTCAGCACTGCCTCCATTCTGCTCCTAGAATACATTGTGTATATGGCTGATGTTAACTGTGGGTGCTGGATTACAGCGCAACAAACGATCAACCCCTTTTTCCATACTTAAAGTGCTAACTGTTTTTCTTCGCTAAACCACAACAAACCACCTAACGGGAATTGTAAGGCAGTGTTTTTTAACCCGTAAAAATAAGTGTTAAAACGCAATTCTGAAACTTTCATTTTTATGTTCCTCTGGTGCCGATGTAGGCGTACAGTGATATATTGGTGTCGATGTCTCTGTCAGCGTGGTGGGTCATTTTCTGGATGATCATGTTCTCCACTCTAATAGAATGTTTTGGTAGATACATATTTACCTATGGAATGTGAAAAGGGAAAATGAAGCAGTTTAAGCAGCAGACCTTGGCAACTTCACGAGCTCCTTCGTTACAGAAGAAGCACGGATACTGTGGTGCTGGCTGGCGATCTAAACGCTAAAGGCGGAAAATTGTCTTCTGATGAGCTTCATCTGGGCGGCCAACATGGTGTAGGCTCCCGTAATGATAATGGTGAGCGATTGCTACAGCTGGGTGAAGATGCTCGCCTGTTCCTCGCGAGCACTAACTTTCGACACAGCACCCGCAGAAGGGTGACTTGGCGGCCACCAGCCTCGGGCCAGTCATGGACGCAAATCAATCATATCGCGATCATTTACCGCTGGAGAGGCTGTGTCCAAAACTGTCGCTCTATTTGCAGCACGAGCCTGGACTCTGACCACGCACTTGTCTGTGCCGACCTCCTGGTGCGTCTCGGTGGCCGTCCGCGACGTCGATGTGAACGGATTGACACCAGACAGCTGGCGAAGCCAGATGTTCTGAATGTGTACCAAGATGCGCTAACATCTGGGCTGAGTAAGCGCCCACTAAATACCGTCGATGATCACTGGTCGCATACTCGTCAAGCGTTGCTATTAGCAGGCATGTCTTCATGTGGCAAAAAAATTGCAAAACCGGACATTGGGTCTCTACACAGTCTCTGGAACTTATGGATGCTCGCCGACGTATTCCGGCTGGAAGCGAATATAATGAAGCTCGCAAAAATCTCAGGGTAAAACTACGTGCAAGCCTAAAGAAGGACCGCGAAACCTGGTGGTCTCATCGTGCCTCTGAGATGGAAACAGCCGCTGCCATTGGTAATCATCGTACATTATACCGTCTGATACGGGAAACAGGCAGCAGGAGACCTGGTGTTAGCGAGACCATACGCGACAAGACTGGGCAACCGATCCACAGCCTGTCAAAACGCTTGGAGCGTTGGGCTGAACAATTTGCAAGGCAATTTAACCAACTTGAATTATCGCTTTCTTCGGGCACTGAGCGCCCTTCTCCTTGGATCCGCCCTCACGCGCAGAAGTCGAACGTGAGATCAGGCTGTTGAAATTGCATAAGGCCGAAGGAGCAGATAGAATTCCTCCAGCCCTCTTCAAATTCGGTGGACCTGATCTAGTAGATGATCTACACGAGTTGCTAGTAAAACGTTTGGAGCAGGAGACAGTCTCGACAGACTGGAACCGCTCCGTCATTTTCAAGGGAAGCTCCCGTTCGGAATGTGGCAATCATAGAGGGATCAGTCTGATTGCGATTGCCTCTAAATTGCTTGCCTATGTCATTCTCCACAGACTGACTGGCACTCGTGAAAGCCAGATTCGTGAAGAGCAAGCCGGATTTCGTCGAGGTCGGGGCTACATCGATCACATCTTCACCTTGCGTCAAGTGTTGGAGCACCGCCATGTTTATTGGCGACCCACCGTTGTCGTGTGTCTTGACATAAAAGGTGCATTCGACTCAGTCGATCGATGTGCGCTTTGGGACTGTCTGCTGAGGAAAGGTGTGCCTGATAAATATGTAAACATTATCAAAGCGCTGTACGCACATAGTTCGGGCAGGGTGAGGGTTAATGACAAACTCTCGCCAACCTTCAGTATCACCAGCGGTGTGAGACAAGGATGCCCGCTGTCACCTTTCCTCTTCAACTTCGCTACTGATGAAGTCATGGAAACAGCGTTCGCTGGACACGACATAGAAGGTGTGGAGCTACTCCCTGGTGAGCGACTTCTTGACTTGGAGTATGCGGACGACATTGCCCTAATCTGTGACAACTTCCAAACATGCCAAACAGCACCGGACCGATTAGCACTGGCTGCCAATCGTTTTGGGCTATGCTTTGCTCCATCGAAATGCAAAGTACTTCTCCAAAATTGGCAGGGACCCAACGCTGCGCTAACGCTTGGTGGTGATCTGCGAGAAGTCGTTCAGGAATTTTAGTACCGGGGCAGCTATAATAGCACCCGTGAAATTGAAGATGAGATTACGAACCGTATAGCAAAAGCTCGAGGTGCTTTTGCCAATCTCCACCACCTGTGGCGCAGACGCGACATTACTCTCGCTCTCAAGGGCAGAGTTTACAACGCAGCCGTCAGTTCAACTCTCCTATATGGCTGTGAAATCTGGCCCATCAGGTCGACAGACATGAAGAGACTCGTCACATTCGATCATCGCTGCCTTCGCAGCTTAGCCCATGTCTGGTGGGAACACCACGTGAGCAATGAGCGTGTTCGGCGTCGCGTATTTGGTGCAGGAAGAGCGAGTGAATCGCTCAGCATCATTATATCGCGCACCAGGCTCCGATGGCTGGGCCACGTGTTGCGCATGCCAGCACACCGACTCTCGCGACGTGCATTGTTTGCGCGTTGTGGGTGCGGTTGGAAGAGGAGGAGGGGAGGCCAAGTGATGACTTGGTCGAGAGGAATGAAAACCCTTTCATCGAAGTTGGCGTCGGTTGGTGCATCCCGACTTCCTGGCTGGGGTCCTAAGGATGGTGAACACGTTTGGTTGGACACACTTGCTGATATGGCTTGGAGCCGGCCCCAATGGCGTTTGTGTTGTGAGTTCCTTTATCCATCCCCCTCCTGTTTAGCATCCCCCTCCAATTACGATCTCAATCGTTAGGCATAATATGACTTTCTTTTACGGCAGCAAGCTGTTAGCTCTCCGGAACGATGTTCGTCCGTTACTGGGGACTCAGCGGGCGTGCCACTGTTTGTTTTTTCTTTTCTTGCCTTTTGTATTGCGGTACAATAGCTGAGGTGTTTTCCACCTCCAGCTAACGTGTAATGATGGTGATGACAGAAACTAGATGAAGCTAAGCGCACCTATTTTGAAAATTGTGAGTCTATGCAAGTGTTGAACCTTCAACACACTATCGAGACCTAATTTCAGTCTAGAATTTGAAGCGTAAAGCACACCAATACACTGATCAGTATCGACCTTCTTTGAAGTGTGACAAAAGCCAACCACCACGCATCGTGGGGTGAGGATACAGCGAGGGTCGCCCGATCCCCACTCAGGCTAGAACCCGCGTCCTCAGGTTACAAGGCAGGCTTGTGATCCTTAAGGCCGTTGTGATTGTTGGTGGTTGCGCGGCAGCGAAGCGTCGGTGCCGCGTACGGGTGTGATGCTGATAGGTTTCCATTACGACACATCGAACCAGCGAAAGGTGGGACAAAATGAAACCTATGGAGCATGAAAATGTTGGGCGAAGTGGGTCGCGTGGACTCCAATCCGGAAAGTGTGACGGGCAAAGGGCGTCAACTTTACTTGTTAGTCATTTTATGTTAAGCCAACTTTTCCTCCCACAGAGCCTAGTGACATATAACGTGACGAAAGGAAAACAGTTATTCTCGGCGACGTACTAAGCGCCTAAGCCAAAGCAACAAGCTCAGTGTTATTTCATGCTAAAAGGAGCTAGCCTGATTATAAATGTCTAGTACTCGCTTCCGTATGTATTCTTTGCACATAAGTTGATGTCATTCATAAACATGGATGATCAAACAAGTAAAAAGCACCCACTGTTCAGACTGAAGGGGCCGAGTTTCTCTCCCATGGAATAAAACGACCCCATCGTGGCTTTGCGCCGGCGATGCTTCAGACCAATGGATATTATATCCTGGTGCCACATGCTCAGGATGAAGTTCCAGCATTCGAAATATGTGAACCAGCATCATCGGTCACACATAGTGAGTAAGGGACGTTTTTATTTCTTACACAAGATATCAACTATTATTTCGTCCTATGTTGTTCCAAATGCGTGTATTCAACACTTATTTTACACTATTGTTATTCAGCAACGCATTTAACTCGACAGATACATAAATAGATAACTCACAATATCTTTTGATTGTGTAGTTTTCATCCCAACCATCCTATGATATCTGTCAAGAACCAGCTTTTGCCCGTGATAACTCATTTGTTCTTCATAGCAAATACGACTGCAGTGATAGGAAAACTGATCAGCAATGCCTACTTACTAGTCACTAAGAATCAAGGGGTCGCCAAATGGCTGGTGGCCTTGCAACAACACTCAAATGCACGTACAAAGATGGAACCACTCCAGGCTGCTTGTCCAAAGTTGATTGGGTCACATGGTGATTATAAACAATATCATCCACATGGTAAGCCCCTTCATGTAGAAGAGGTCAACCAAAGAATAAGAATGTAACTACGGTTCTTACGAGTACATGAAAGAAGACCAAGTGCAAAGGACGTGGCGATAACTCATTAGGAAAAATATGTACATAGTAGCAGCACGGAATCGCAAAAGTAGAAAAGGGGAAGTAGTCAAAGGGATCAGGCGGATGAAACCGCTTGTTCGGGAAAAACGTCGGCAAAATCTTTGGCTCGACGAAGTTGGCGCATTGCAGTTGGATGTACTCGAAGCATTTCAGCTGTCAACTTTACAACGACATCTGTACGGAACATGGTCATCAGTTCTAGCTTTGTGGCACCGGCAATTTCCTTTATGGTTGTACCTCCGATACCCAATACTTGGCGCTGGAAAGTAAGCAGGCATAAGATAGTAACGGACGTGGGATCATCCCCATGTGTACATACATTAAACGGTAGTGAAACGAGAAGAAATAAAGTGCACAGGAAATACCCGTATGTGTGAAAGGGTTCAAACGCATCAGGCACAGGAAAGTTTCGCCACAAAACATGCGCATAGTTCGTGATGACACCTCTAAATTGAGTATTATCAGTGTTAGCTCGCCTCGAAATAAAATGGTCAAGTGAAGAAGAAGCGAATGGAACACGATAAAACAGAGCTCATGAGAGAGAAACACGCAGAATTTGGCCGAGCGCCGATAAATTTCGGTTATACGAAGTCACCAGTCTGTTGTAACGAGGGCAGTTTGCACCTCAATGGCAATTTTTAAGTGCACTTGGAGTTGCATTCCACTAGCTTCTGCTACGAAATTACCATCACTCCTGCGCTGGTGGCGTCTACTCGAACGGTGATGAACGTTTGTGATCAAGTTACCCTGCTGATAACCATAAATGAAAATTGCGCCTTTAGTCTTCAATATCCCACCACGACAGCACACCTCGGAATGGCTCGATACGTTACATAGAGAGAAGAGGTCTTGAGTGCCTTGTCCACATCAGCGAAACAGCAAGCTAATGAGTATGGGTTAGAGAAGAACATCCCCGAGCAATGTGACTAATTAGGTAAATTCGTGAGCAGTCAAAATGATTGGCAAACGCAAGCTAATTTTCTAAACCGATTGAGTGTGTGCAGTGTATGGTAAACAGCACCGGTAGTGAAAAGAAAGGAACGAGTTGGGATTAACGAAGATTGCATACTTGCTATTAAGTCTACTGTGGAATCATCCGTGTCAACCGAATGTCATAGGAATGAACGGTCCGCAAAGCAGTGCAAGGTGGCCCAATCAGAGCTTGTAAAAAAGGCCAAAATTGAGCCGTGTCAAACGCATATAAAACAGCGCATTGAAAAACTATCACATGCGTATGCGTACGATGATGCTCTGGCTGATGTTGCATTCACGATGCCTCATCACCGCAGCTGGGCTAAACCAACTTTTACATTTAAACTAGGTCTTTTTAATGTGGATAAAATTCATTAAATCTTCTTGATTTGTTTCGCGTACTTGATAACCTTCTCCCAACTTGCACACGTCGCTCATGCAAATTGTGGTAAATTTGAGTAAGTTTATCACGTGGTATTTTTTAAATAACTTTCGGACATTTTGCACTTATCGCGTATGTACCTGTGACCAATTTCTTACATATGCTCATTTTACGAGTATTTATGTCGTCATATGCGCTTACTTTATTCTATATCGGCATTTCGAATGATTGGCTGTTGTTTGACATCCTAGGTGTGGCTGCGCTTGATATGCATGTTGACAAGGTGCGTACCTGTCTATTACCCACTACCTCGTCCATCTGGCTCCAGGAGACAGTTGGTCGTTGCTGGAGGGGACGGGGTGCACGGTCCCTGTGGCCGTGCTAGGCTCGAAGAGTGGTTACATGCATTCAGCGTGGAGCGGACTACGGTCCAGTCACCGCCTTGTGTGCATTTGATTCCCCAAATACAGCGTGCTTGTGTTTGCCTGTGAAGGAGTGTGGACCGGCTCCGTTGATGAAACGTGGCTCCCATCCGCAAGCCTCCCGGTCTTATTCCTTCGAGTTTACACTGGATATGGGGTGTGTGGATGGAGCTGAGGGTGGTGCAGCTCAAGCCATCCACGGTCCCTCAGTAGGCGCAGGCGTCCTGTGGCTGGCCACAGTGAAAGGCAAATCCGAAACCGGATGCCGCCAAACATGTGAATGCGGGGGCCGGAGTTCATGGCCGATGAAGCTAGCGGCGACAAGATCCTGCTAGACCGTCAACCTGCTGCTGCCAGTGCTGTTCAGTTGACGCATGTCCTGGACATCTCCTCGTTGCGATCGTTGGGTTACAATCTTCATCTAAGAGAGAGGCAGGACACAGTTCCACGTGAGTCGGTTCACTAGATAAAGGCATAAGACCCACTGCTTTTCGGTAATACATTGCATCGAAGAAATTGGCTAAGGACCCGAGTCGTTCTACGATTAATGTACGGAGGCCCTGGCAGTATCCATTTCATATACGGACTACGAATTACGTCAACAATAATAATAATCGCATGCTGCTTCGGCAGTTGCGCAGTGGCACTAGAAAAGGGGTCGACTTGTGTGCTGCATACCGCAGGGTGGATAAAAGGAAACATGCCACGACTGATGCTTCCGTTCTTACTTCTTGCCCTAAACATAATCTTCTCTCCATACCTGCTTCAGATTACCTACTACTTCTTCCAACACAGGTCAACACACGAGCGATTTCCCGGAGCAAGCATATGCTTCCACGCAAAGAATACAACATCGCGTCCTTGAATGTGTGTATACTGCTCGACCGGAAGGCTGCCCGAGCGACGCAGCGTGCTTGTCGCGGTGGAAGTAAGGCGCAACGGGATCGATACTCAATACACAATGAGACCCAGTTAGCTGACCAAGGCAGGCTGCATGAGGCTGTGCTGGTTAAACGTTCTACTGGGACGGGAACGCCACCACAGCACCACGTGCAAATGGAATTGGATTTGCGCCAGCCGCTCGTCTAAATGGCCAACCGGTGGGTGGCCCAGCTGGCATCGGAGCACAACCGATAACTCCAAGACTGCGTCTCGGATGTATGTCTATCACCTTTCAAATGTGAATTTAGGGAACACGCTAGGTGGTTGGGTTGCGACCCGCGACCTCTATTGAGACAGCATGCTAAGCGTTGCTCGGCGATCTCAGTAGCATAGTGATCAGAGCGTCGGTCGTGAACTACTAGGCTCTGAGTTGCACACCAGCTCAGGCTATCTCTACCTGATGAGTACAAACCAGGACGAAATCGCGGTCGTGGTGTGCAAGTGTTGGGAGGAGCAACACACAAATATTTCCATTCCGGATACGGTTTATCACTTTTATTAGCAGATATGTATTATCCTGACGGAAGGAAAAATCGATGTTACACTCAGCTGTTCTCCGTGATACGGCCTGTGCCAGCTAGTGACCGACTTTTCTTACTGGGTGATTTCAACGTGCGCGTTGAGTGTGATGCCGCGGCGAGAATGGACGTAATCGACTTGTATGGTATTGACAAAACCGTAGTGAACAGAGACAGGCTGCCCTCACTGTGTACCAAGCACGGCGTACAGTTTGCAAAACTGTATGCGAGTTATATAGCTAGTTGGACGCACACGCGAATTGGTCATGTTTACTTGCTCGACTATCTCATTGTAATCCAGAATAACAGGTGTACTGCGTGGAACAGTAGATCACTGATCACAAGTTGACGCGGATTAACTTGTACATATATTTTCATCAATCTGTGTAATGTTCACATAGTGTGAATTTAATGTTCAATCCCTAGATACTAATGAGAAGAGGACGGAACTAGAGAACGCCATGGCAACCTGCCTTGGTGATGTCGACTCTATTGTATCAGCCAGCGAACTGCGGGATCCACATCCGAGATATAGTAAAGACAGCGGCCGAGGAAACAATCGCGCGCGCAAAATGTAAGCGGCACGTTGGATAATGCAGCATTTGGTGCAGATGTGGATGACGCTGCCGATAAGTCCGTTTTGTAAATTTCGACGACAACTGATTCGAGAGCTCGGTCGCGTCAATAATACATGGTGGACGGATAAGACAGAGCAGATGGAATGCTACGCAGAACGTCGTCAACAAAACCTAGTATTTGATTCTTTGAAGGCGGTGTACGGAGCCACGTTGTAGCTGATGAGGACGCTGCTCGATGCTACCCCAGGCGCTGATTGAAAACAGGTTTCAAATATAATGCAGATTTGATGAAAGCATTTCGACTTGAACAACGGTTCAGTGACTGAATGGTTTATGTTGAAAGCGCCACGACAAAGATATGAAGAGCTGCCCTGACGACACACCGACACTGCATGAGACGAAGAGAGCACTTGTTCGGCTGCAAAACCGTAAGTGTGCCGGAGCCAACGGAATACCGCCAAAAGTGTTGAAACAAGGCGGATCCGCGTTCATACATACACCAAGTGGTGCAGTGCTGTTATTTAAAGTAGAAGTGAAAGTGACTTGCACGAAGTCACTGAGCTACCATCATACAATGGCAAACAGAGAAAGCAATGTGTCACGACTCATCGCGTCCTCGATCATTAATGAAGATAAGCTTCATCCCAATAGAGAGGTCCGGCAAGGAGATCCGCTTTCCGCTTTGCTCGATGAAGTTTTAAACGCAGTAGCCACCTCGCGTTGGATACAACCGGCTGGCCCGAGTGAGTACCTCGCATATGCGGACGATGTGATCATTTCTGCGCAAAACGCACTTCACTCGGGGATCATCTTAAACCATTTCAACAACGACTGCAGTGTGTCGGCCTCAGCATTAATGGCAAGCGACAGATTCGCTTGGGGCTCGAGTGATTCGCAAAAAACTCCAGGGTCCAGCCAAGAAAAGAAGCCGATACGTTAAGTACGCCTCCGAGCGAACCCGATTGGGGTCCGTCGCAAGATACAACCCACCGGAGTGCAATGGTGATCCTCTGACAGGGGTCACGGAACTCCTGATCACCCGGAACCCGGCGCTCTCTCGGCAGAAGACGCCGATGGTGTGGTTATCTGACTATGATCTTGACATGCAGGCTGCAGTTTTCGTGGTAATTCTTCCGCCTACACTCTGACCCAAATCCATAGGATTTCCTTCCCATTGATCCTCCGTTGGTTTCTCGCTCTGGTTCGCCCTAACACCGCTCCACCACTATAGGAGAGTACAGGACCTATAACGGCACGCCTGCGTCTCCGACTTCGGCCAGTTGAACTCACTGTGGTCCTCCTTGGATCAGGATATCCAAAGATCCACCTCCCACCTGCTGAGAGTCAACAGCCGGAACTACTCCATTTCCTCGTAGTATCCCTCTAGCAAACATATCTTTAGTGCTCCAAAGGATTTCAGTCCCGTGATCCACCGGTGCCAAGCCTTTCCGAGTTTACCAGATATATCAGCTGCAGACTTAACCGAGTTTAGTTCTTTTTCTACTATTAACTTAAGCAATTGCCTTAGTTCAGAGGTAAAGATGTTTGCTCCAGTATCTGATATATATCTGAATTCCTTTACCAAATCTTCCGGTTCCACCGGGCCACCCACAAGCGGCACGAATATGCAACTCGTTAAAGCAATGAAAGGTTTGGTTTTAATGCACTGATATAGTACGAAGCTGCCATATGTTTGATAGTGTGCGGGCTGTCGCGCAGCAAGTAGGGAACCATCGGAGGGATTCAGAACCCGCAAGCCGATCGCTTCATTGTGGACCTCCGGATCGAGATAATAACAACTATTCGTTGGCTCAGCAAACGTGATTGCGGCAGCTACAAATTCTGCATCTGTTGATCGTTCGGACCAATCTCATTACGCGGAGCACACAACTTCACATCCTGCATCGCTTGAAGTTGAGGCAATGGGTGATCAGATTTCTTATCAACAGATTTACCGGTGCATGCTTGCAAGACATCTACATTTAGGTACGGTAATGAGTTGGCAACGAAAGAGGTTCGCTGCACTTCGCCGAACGATGTGTTGTGACAATGAGCGGTGTCCGGGGCCGCTACCGATGTAACAGCCTTAAAGTCAAGCAATAAATCGGCGAGAAAAGCATTTTGGATACCATCATTACCTGACGCAATATCAATACACTCGGTTGTGTCTGAAGGCTCTATGATTGTTGCCGCCATTACGTTACTCATCGCAATAAGTTCTGACTCTGGATAGCCACAGTCAGAACCTAAGGAAGAACCAATATATGATGATTCAATGAGAACCACTGATTCGGATTGAGATGTATCGGTAGTATCCGCATAATTAGTCTCTAACTCCAAGCGTAATTTAGCAATCTTAACATCGAGTACCGCCTGTTCCAACTCAGGTTCTCCCATTCTTAAGTCGAAAACAGTGCGTGGTAAACCCTATCTACGCCTACTCTTTGTACCAGTATGCGTCCCAGAACAAGAAATCATATCATGAACAGTTGGAAAACGTTTGACTTGCCAAAGTTCCTTCTGCTCCAAAAATTTTCTCGATTGCTTGCTTTCCAATAGACATAGTTCAAATAGGCCAGCGATTATGTTTGACAAGCACGACAGTCCAAAAACGATGGGTGGACTCGGAAGACAGACAGAGAAGTACGGGGCACCTTTCTCCAAAGCAAGCTTGCACGCCGAATTCAATGCAGCAACGGTTATTGAGTAGTTGTACTTCAATTCAATACAACCCGTGGTTGTTCCGTACTCGGCCTGCAATTCAATCCAACCCCAACGGTTGTTGGGTGTTGTACTCCGAATCAATTCAACACATGCGGTTGTTGCGTACTTCACTCCAATTTAATCGAGCCCAAGACACGCTGTTGGGTACGCCTACTCCAATTCAATCCAAATTAAACCACGGATGTCGAATAATTGTATTCCAAATGAATCCGACCCATGAAACGGTTGCTGAGTACTTGTACTCCAAATCAATACAACCCAAACGGTTGTTGAGTACTTGAACTCCAATTCAAAGCAAGACATGGATGTTGAGTAGTGGAAGCGACAGATTCGCTGATCCGAGGACCACAGTGAGTTCAACAGGCCGAAGTGGGAGACGCAGGCGTACCGTTATAAGTCCTGTACTCTCCCATAGTGGTTGGAGCGGGGTTAGGGCGAACCAGAGCGAGAAACCAACGGAGGATCAATGGGAAGGAAATCCTATGGATTTGGGTCAGAGTGTAGGCGGAAGAATTACCACGAAAACTGCAGCCTGCATGTCAAGATCACAGTCAGATAACCCCATCATCGGCGCCTTCTGTCGAAATCCCGGATAACCCCGTATTTGTCTATTCCATGCGATGAGTTATGCGAAGCTCCATGTTTCCCATGCAACTCACACCATGCTAACGAGACTTTTTCCCGATAACCTTATCTGACACCGGCTCCTACAGGCTATTATGCGATTATGCGAGCAGCGTGCTCTACTCAATAAAATGCATCGAACCTAATTCATGCACAGAGGTACAGTAGAGCCGGTTGCTTTTACACGCATCACCACACTAGTGACCACAGTAAAAACAACAACAGAAATATCCTAAGAGGAATGAGCACAAATCTAAATCAGCAGGTAGAGCAGTTTAACGGTCTGAGCTGAGGAGACGAATGTAAAACGAAGCGAGATTTGGTTCAATATAGTGCGTAAGCGAACCCGAACAGAACCAAGTCCCAAAAATTAGGAACAACAGACGCGTACAAGTTTGCAACGCTGACTGACCAGGTGTCGCTCGCTTCGGCATTGAAGACGTGCGTGCACAAACACGCGTTCGTCCCCTTCGGCTTCGCGTATCAAGGCTTTTTCGCATTCGTCGACTACTATGCGAATGGAATAGGGCACTTCTTGTTTCAGTTTATCCAGACAATGAGCCCATACACACATGCGAACCAGTTCAGTCGGTTCATGGTCAGTAACCAACAAAGGAGACAGTGACCAGTTGCGGCCGGGGATCGCTTTGGAGACCAAATAATCCTGGGAAAAGTGAACAACAGAAGAGAGACGCAGTTTAGCAAGAAGAAAATTCGAGTGCAAACAAATGCAAGTTGAAGTAGAAACACAAGTATACGTAAAGAATTAAAGAAGTGGTAAGTCAGCTGAAGGAATAGATGACAGATGGATTGTGGAAAACGATCGCATAATTACGTCATGAAGGGTTTTGTCGGTGGGTCAATTTGCATCCACAAAGAGGTAAAAAGAGACATTAGACATGCCACAGTACGGATTTTCTCGTCTGCCCATAACAGCCTACGAAGCCGGCCCCTTCGCTGGCAGCCCGGAGCAGTTTGGCCGACGCATCATGAAGCTTATTGGCCAGCCAATAAGGAGGAGTCAATGAGAACGCTTCACCTTGAAAGCCACTAGTGAGGATGATCTACCTCGAAGTCGCCAGTGAGCGCATTTGATGGTCAAGCAACAAGTATGTTAGCAGGAATCTAGCAGTTGCTGAAATTCAGGAACCTCTAGCCAGAGTATTACTCTATGAACCATTTCTTGGATCCAATTGTTTGCTTGCGCATCATGCTTGCAGGGTGATCAATACAGGTTTCTGCCGGAGGCCTCTGAATTCTAATCTGGGAAGTCGGCCGGTCCAGCTTGTACAGTAACCGCAGGTTATCCGTACGGTCAAAGGAAACCATAACGGAAAGAGAGGAGGAAATCGAGACAGACGTGCGCAAGTGGCCACCAGGGAAATGCATTTGGAAAGCCTTTGAACTGCGAATGTTTGGCTTTAATCGAGATAATATGGACGCCGACGAAAGCGGAGCTAGATACCAGATGACACCGTGGACAACAAAACGCACTTACCTCGCAATGACAGAAGCAAGAGTGGAAGTGACTGCTTGGTTCACACTTCGAAGCTGGCTCCGATTGGCGCCTCCCCACTACCGGGACGGGTTCGAAGGACGACGAGCATGACGAAGCGCCTACTTCAATGGTGTTCCTGTTCTTACTTTCGGCTTCGCCTCTCCCCGAACATGATTTCACAACACATGCGTAATAGTAAAAAACAGCATAAATTTTTAGGTTTGATTTTTAGGTTGGCTCGTTATGTTAGGATTAAGTAATCGAATTGTATTGCATCAACATAGCTGTGGTACAGCGGAGCCCAAGCTAACGTGCGTTATCATAATAATGATTATGATGTGAATAGTTGCAGCTAAAAATGCAGGAACAGATGTATAAACACTGTCGGTTTGCAAAAGTATTCAAAATCGAAAGTCACCAAAATAATTGAACATACCCGCAATCGGTCTACACCATCGCCAGTCGCAGAAGACACCATGAAAACTTCGCTAAATCCAGTCCAACTTGTGATACCTTTGACCGCTAAGGAAACCTCGAGCCAACGCTTCCGGCGGGCGGCGACTTCTTCCCGTGAAACCGTTTTTAACATCAACTGTTCTTTAAGAGTTTCCATCATGGAGGTAAAATAAATGTCCCGGTTCCCTGAATCATCAACCAGCGCGTTCTCTTCAGTTGGGAAAAAAGATGCAAGCGGATCAATATCATCCAGTTCAGGTGTAGCTTCATTCGGAGGAATATCGAGTGAGGTTTCAGGACTATAATTTGCAAAGTAGTCATCGATGGAAGCCAAGTCCGTCTCGGTGACAACGCGGTCTTCAAAGACCGTTGGTACACCTGAAAAAGAGAACAAAAAGTAAAGTGGAAGGTCCCAGTTCAGAATAAACGATATAATTACCTAGTCCAAGCTGTTTGATTAGCAAGGTCCAGCAACTTACAGCTGCTGAGAGGATACCAAAAAAAGGGATATTCATGATCCACAGTCATCACTCCATATCGTTCAGCAAGATGTAGGCAAATGCTAATTTACACGATAGCCAGAAAGACCCAAGTAGTACACGTTATGCTGTGAGAAAAGTGCATCCAGAGGGCAGTTAGACAAGCAATACAGATGGGTAACACTGTGCAACATCCCTTTTATAACAGAAATGAGATAGGATGTTTCTAGTGGTACCAAATGAGCTGATTATGAATATGTAAACCGAATGTTTCTATCTCGTCGGGTTTCTTATTCCAACTTTTCATTTCTGCTAAGCAGTGTATTCCACGCATCGAATGCTCGCCTGTGATTGGTTCACGGGGTCCTTGAAATCGTGAAAAAGAAGTCCTCTTGGCCATGATATCCAGCTGATACTGAAAGTCGATTGAGAGCTGTGTTTCCTTAATTAATACCTTGATCATGATTCAAAGACGCTACTGTATCAATGACCGAAACCATTTTTGTTACGTCTGTGGACAGTTTACTATAAACTAGCAGTGCAGACCTAGTTCTTCACTACTGAAATCTGCCAACCACGCACATTTCTGGATGAAACTCGGAGATAAGGATAAGAATTGGGTGCCGCATAGTGTTTGTGTGTCGCGAAAACTTCAGCCGACCCAATGGCTCAAGGACAAAGCCAAGATGTCCTTTCCATCGCAATGAGGCTGGACCTTACCGTGGTGCGATGGTTTGCGTGCCTCAGAGATCCATTGAGCTATGCTGGGTGGTGCTTTTTTTGCACCTTCAGAGTCACTCATAACAGATTGGTCAATGGTTAGAGGCCAGACAAACTCAGCCTCCTGGTCCTCCAGGTTGGGGGTTGGAATGGGGGTGGCTCCTCATTTCATAAAACGGGCTCTGTAGTCCAGTGCCAAAACCCGCTGCCTTGCGGTAAGGTTTTTGAACCAAAGGCTTTGGTTGAGAACCCTAATCGTTCTCCTGTCTAGGCCTGGGCAACTTGATAGTATTCTGCCAACGCAACACAATGAACCATTCCCACAATAATTTCTTGATGCTCTGGCCGTCGCAGTGGATAATAAACGGCGTCCTAGCTGCTGCATCGAGCAAGGTGGAAAGGGGTATGGATGCTACTGCTCAGACCTTCCCGTCTTCTTATACCCCTTCTTGCGCTTCATCATCCTTATCGTCCCGCTCCAACGTTACTTATATCCCCCCATTTTCAATCCCCCAATTCTTGGCCCTTCCCCAGCTTACTTATATAGTCGAATCTCTTCTAATTTCACATCACACACAGTCGCAATGCATCGCTCCAATCCAGTCGGCAAGTCCATGTTCAACCAGGCGAACAACATCAGTTCATCCATTTCACTTTGGAGTCCTCGCGTCTCGCTAAGACTAGCATGCCTCAAGGTGCGCACTTTGCTGCAGATTGGCCAACAGCCAGCACTTGCCCGCTCACTAGAGACCCTATCGATCGATATTTGCGGTTTATCAAAAACCAGCCTGCAATGTTCGAGCTCCGTGCTTACCCTGAGATCCCCCAAATGCGACACTGGAGGCCCATTCTCACTGTGCCTGTCTGGTGATGATACAGCTTCAAATACCGGTCAAGCTGGCGTTGGCATTGTTTTGGGCCCCCGAGCTGAAGCTGCCCTGATCGATCGGATCCCAGTAAACAGTATAATGTGCCCCGATAGATTAGCTGGTTCGTTCCGTGCTACGAAGTCGCGCGGGGAAAAACGGTGCCTGTTTGTCAGTGCGGCCTACGCCCCTACAAACTGTAACACTGATTCGGTAAAACATGATTTCTATCAGCAAATTCACCAGCTCCTTCGTTACAGAAGAAGCATGGATACTGTGGTTTTGGTTGGCGATCTAAACGCCCAACTCGGAAAATTGTCCTCTGATGAGCTTCATCTGGGCAGCCAACATGGTGTAGGCTCCCGTAATCATAACGTGGAGCGATTACTACAGCTGTGTGAAAATGCTCGTCTTTTCATCGCGAGCACTAACTTTCGACATAGCACCTGAAGAAGCGTAACTTGGCGGCCACCAGCCTCGGGCCAGCCATGAACGCAAATCAATCATATCGCGATCAGTTACCGCTGGAGAGGCTGTGTCCAAAACTGTCGCTCTATTTGCAGCACGAGCCTGGACTCCGACCACGCACTTGTCTGTGCCGACTTCCTGGTGCGTTTCGGTGGACATCCGCAACGTCCATGTGAAAGGATTGACACCAGCCAGCTCGCAAAGCGAGGTGTTCTGAATGTGTATCAAAGTGCGCTGACATCTGGACTGAGTAAGCGCCCACTGACCACCGTCGATGATCACTGGTCGCATACTCACCAAGCGTTGCTGTTAGCAGGCATGTCTTCATGTGGCAAAGCAAATCACCAAACCGGACATTGGGTCTCTACACAGACTCTGGAAATTATGGATGCTCGTCGACCTATTCCGGCTGGAAGCGAATACAATGAGGCTCGCAAAAATCTCAGGGCAAACTACGCGCTAACCTCAAGAAAAACAGCGAAACCGGGTGGTCTCATCGTGCCTCTGAGATGGAAACAGCTGCTACCATTGGCAATCATCGTGTTATTATGTCAGATACAGGAAACAGGCAGCAGAAGACCTGGTGTTAGCGAGACCAAACGCGACAAGAGTGGGCAGCTGATCCACAGCCTGTCAAAACGCTTGGAGTGTCGGGCTGAACACTTTGCAAGGCAATTTAACCAACCTGGGTTTTCGGTTTCTTCTTCGGACATTGAGCGCTCTTCTCCCTGGGCAGTCCCCTAGGATCCGCCCACACGCGCAGAAGTCAAACGTGAGATAAGGCTGATGAAATTGCGTAAGGCTACAGGGGCAGATAGAATTCCCCTAACCCTCTTCAAATTCGGGGGACTTGCTCTAGTAGATGATTCACACGAGTTGCTAGTGAAACTTTGAGAGCAGGAGACAGTCCCGACAGATTGGAACCGCTCCGTCATTGTCCCAATTTTCAAGGGAAGCTCCCGTTCGGAATGCGGCAATCACAGAGGGATCAGTTTGATTGCGATTGCCTCTAAATTGCTTGCCTGTCATTCTCCACAGACTGACTGGCACTCGTGAAAGCCAGATTCGTGAAGAGCAAGTCGGGTCTCGTCGAGGTCAGGGCTGCATCGACCACATCTTCACCTTGCGTCAAATGTTGAAGCACGGCCATGTTTATTGGCGACCAACCGTTGTCGTGTGGCTTGACATAAAAGGTGCATTCGACTCAGTCGATCGATGTGCCCTTTGGAACTGTCTGCTGAGGAAAGGTGTGCCCGATAAATAGGTAAACATTATCAAAGCGCTGTACGCGCATAGTTCGGGCAGAGTTAGGGCTTATGGCAAACTGTCGCCACCTTTCAGTATCACCAGCGGTGTGAGACAATGATGCCCGCTATCACCTTTCCTCTTCAACTTCGCTATTGATGAAGTCATGGAAACAGCGTTCGCTGGACACGATCTAGAAGGTGTGGAGCTACTTCCTGAGTTAGAATTCGCGGACGATATTGCCCTAATCTGTGACAGCTCCCAAACATGCCAAACAGCACCGGACAGATTACCACTGGCTGCCAATCGTTTTGGGCTATGCTTTGCTCCATCGAAATGCAAAGTACTTCTCCAAAATTGACAGGGACACAACCCTACGCTAACGCTTGGTGGTGATCTGCTAGAAGTCGTTCAAGAATTTAAGTACCTGGGCAGCTATATTGGCACCCGTGGGATTGAAGAGGAGGTTACGAACCGTATAGCAAAAACTCGAGGTGCTTTTGCCAATCTCCGCCACCTGTGGCGCAGACGCGACATTACTCTCGCCCTGAGGGGCAGAGTTTACAACGCAGCCGTCCGTACAACTCTCCTATATGGCTGTGAAACCTGGCCCATCAGGTCGACAGACATAAAGAGGCTCGTCATATTCGATCATCGCTGCCTTCGCAGTATAGCCCATGTCTGGTGGGAGCACCGCGTGAGCAATGATCGTGTTTGACGTCGCGTACTTGGTGCAGGAAGAGCGAGTGAACCGCTCAGCACCATTATATTACGCACCAGGCTCTGATGGCTGGGCCACGTGTTGTGCATGCCAGCACACCGACTCCCGCGACGTGCATTGTTTGCGCGTTGTGAGTGCGATTGGAAGAGGAGGAGGGGAGGCCAAGTGATGACTTGGTCGAGAGAAATGAAAACCCTTACTTCGAAGTTGGCGTCGGTTGAAGCATCCCGACTGCCTGGCTGGGGTCCTAAGGACGGTGAACATGTTTGGTTGGACACACTTGCTGATATGGCTAGGAGCCGGCCCCAACGGCGTGTGTTCTGAGTTCCTTTGTCCATCCCCCTCCTGCTTAGCATCCACCTCCAATCACGATCTCACTTGTTAGGCGTAATATGACTCTCTTTTACGGCAGCCGGCCGTTAGCTCTCCGGAACGATGTCCATCCGTTACTGGAGACTCAGCGGGCGTGCCACTGTTTGTTTTTCTTTTTTTGTCTTTTGTATTGCGGCACAATAGCTGAGGTGTTTTTCACCTCCAGCAAACGTGTAATGATGATGAAGACGAAGATGCCCTTTGCAATCCCCATGCTGGGGAGAGAGCCGAAGGATCGGACGACAGACTGCTACTTCTTCCTTACCAAGATCATTGGGATCTCTAACTG